ACGTGGCACAGGGCAAGAGTCAACAAAGCTAATTGGATCATTGACTTGAGCTAGTATTAAGCTTTAATTATTATGAGAAATTGTTCAGCTTTTTATCATTTGTAATTGAGTAAGCAAAATGGCATGTGGGCCAACTTAGTATATGTATTGGGAAACAAGAAATGAGAAGTAATCAGAATTCAGTTACAATATTCCTTTCTCTCTCTTAGGTCACTATCTCTCTCTACTCTCTACTCTCTCTCTTCCTTTCTCTCTCTATAATTCATCTCCCACCTCATGTTCTTCACCATTAAAATACAGAAAATACCACAAAAAATTACAGAAAATTGAAAGGTCCGTAACACTCTAACAGTTATTAGATAAAGTGAAGTTGAATCAACACTCGTAACATCCATGAACTACTATACTAATTCACATAGATATAGCCAAAAATTCGAGTCGGGTCACAGCCCGACCCTGCGTCGGATTTGAAAACATTGACTTTGACCCCGCACGGACCTATACATGTCAATGACCCACGGTATTGGAAATAATAGTACTAGTATTTTTTTTGCAAGTCTTAATTAGTTGACTTGGAAAAAGAAAATGAGTTTGGTCTTCCCAACCAACACTTCATTTAATACACACCACCAATACCACCATAACTGCTCCACAGATTAATGTCAAATCACATTGATTAAGACACTAATGAGAGGTTTTTGGTTTAATCAATGTACTTAGGTTGATTGATAGTTAAACAGTTATACCATTTAAATAATGTATATATATATATATATGTATGTATATTTTTATTTAATACTACTACTCCATATTCCAAAATATATTATAAACAAAGTTATACTATTTTAATTTCTTTTATTTACGGCTGTCTAACATTTAATCATATTTGTATTACTCATTATTTGTCACATCCATTGTACAAAACCTGTCTAGCTAGTTTAATTTATGCAGTCAAGATGGTTCAAAAGTAGTTGCAACATTTATTATCTTATAAAAAAAAATGAAAATTAAATTATTACATACATTATATTACTAGTACAGAGCCCGTGCGATGCACGGGGTGCACAATTTTAAAGTTATTTATCCAGCCTTATAATTATATAAATGAATAAAAAAATATATGGGATATATATAGTACGGGACCAGTGCGAGACACGAGATATATTTATTTAGGAAATATTATATTATAAGATGCAATATTCAATAAAAGTTTTATAGTACGCAGTATACAGTAAATAATATCTGACAAAAAAAATCATATATTATTAAAGACCTCCTTGTACATAGATATTAAATAATTTATTAGTTAAATAGTGTATAAGTTGATTACAATAACAAAACAACATGCTCACGGGATTAGTAAAAATATTCCATGGATTGAAGATTTAATGGGATTAATCATTTAAATTAATTAACTTAGATAATTCAAAAGTCTTCCAACATTGTTTTGACTCTAATATATTACAGCATGTGTATACTTTAAATATATTAATATTTAAGGAACTTTAAACAACATAATTTTTAAAAAAACTATTTTAGGGAACTTTAAACAACATATTTACGTCACTCATAAAACATATTATATTTCAACATCATTGTTATAGTATTATTTAAGAAACTTGAAACAACATTGTTAAATATTTACGTCCACCCATAAATTTTTCACAAGTCGAAGGTAATTAATCCCATTTCTTTTTTATTTGTTTGTTTGTTTAATTTTTTTGACAAAATTGATATCATGGATAAAAAAATTTAATATTAAATAAATTAATTAAATAATATAAAATAATATGCTTTAGACAGATATAGGATGCGGATAATCCTCTCATACCAAACTACGCGATTTCAAAATTGACTCAGATCCAGCAATCCTATCCAATATTTCATATAAATAAATATTAAATAAAATGCTTTAAACAGAAATTAGATAAGGAATTTTGAATCTGCCTTTTTTTAGTATAAATAGGCTTTACGTACATTTTTTGACTTCACCGATTATGGATTTGTTTTGACTAAATCGATGTTATTATAGAATAAGACAAATAAATAAAGTCTTTTTTATTTTAGTAAATATTTTACGTACTTTTTTTTTACTTATCGGATGTTATGGGATTTTTTTTCTTAAGCCGGTTTTTATTTTAGTAAAAATTTTAAAGAATAACTAATATAATTTTATTATCTAACCATCAATAAAATCATTTAATGATGTGATCATTATCATTTAAATGATAAATAATATTATTTTTTTAAAAAAATATTAGTTTTATATAATTAAATAAAAGTTAAAAAATATAACTCGACAAATATTAATTATAATGGATATCATTAAAATCATTGCATAAATTATTTAAGGAAAAAATCTTTAAGATCATATCTGGATAATAAATGTAAATATACAAGCATTTAATGCATATAGTAAAAAATTTCCAAATAAGGTATGCATTAAATGTGTGTTGACTTTTCTTGCTACTATGTTTGGTAAATAGGTTGGCTTTTATATATATATAGATTGTTATTATCACTGCAAGAAAATGATGAAATTCCAACAGAAATATATTCTCATATAATTATTGCAACGACAATTTCAATGAATATTTCAATATTATTATTTCCGTTGAAATTTTTCATGGATCCCAAAGGAAATTCCCACAAAAATAATCCGTTTGAATGAGTTTTTCATTAGAAATTTCGTCGAATTTTGATGATTTCAACAGTAGATTTTCCAACGACGGTGAAAATGAAAAACAAATTCCAATGAAAGCTATACTATTGGAATATTCATTGAAATTTTCATTAAAAATGACAATTATAAATATTTTTCACACTTCTTGAATTTTATAGGCACGAATATAATGCATGGTTGGTTGAACAACAGACATACAATCTATATTATTTGACTAAGGTTATTCCTTCGAAGGTTTCTATAAATTTTTTTTTTCAAATTACTCATTCCTATTTTCTTTCACACGCTCAAAATCCCTCATTTCAATTTGCACATATTTTATTTCTACTTTTAAGATTTCGCCTTACCAAATTAATTTATTAATATTTATAAAAAATTCTGCATCCACTGATTTATATCATTATAATATATTAGTACAACACCCGTGTATTACACGGGTGCTTGTTAAAAAATTATTCTTAAATTTTAAAATTAATGAGAATACTATATTAAATTTAGTTTACTTTTTTTTTTTAAAAAAAATATATATTACTATATATTTTAGAATGATATGTGTTACTTATGACTTACATGTGTTATATTATATTAGTTTTTATAACTTATAAATATATTAGTTGATAAATAATTTTATTTTTTTGATTAATATTAAAAATAATTTTATTATTGTTATAAAGATAAATATAAATTATTTTTTTTTATACATACAATATAGATGTTAAATCGAAACTCATCAAAAGAAGATTAATTTGATATATTACATATGTAAAACTGATACAAAATACAAAAGTTATTAACTTTTAAAATATATATACAATTCAATAGTTATAACAATGAATGATATTAAAATGCAATTAATACATGTAACATGACTATAAATAATCAACATATTTATGGTAATCCGAACCTAATTATTTTTAATTTGAAATTAAATTAGAATTTACTCAAGTCTAACAACGAAGCATGTAATTTTGCCACATAGGATTGCGAATCACCATAAACAGCCACGTAGGCTCAGCGCGTTCTGAATTAATATATAGGAGGGAAAGGAGGGAATTTTATTACCATCAACATAATATTGTTCAAATTAATATGTTTTACTATCCTAAACTATCGTAAATTGACACATATTACAAATAAAAATAAAATATATCTTGTAATGCTAATTATTTATTTATAGTCCAATCTGACCCCCACGCGTAACTAAAACAAAGGTACAAATTTTCAAAATCATCAGCATAAACGTTGGTCTCTCTAGTCCACCGTAGTTCGTCAACATTTCCCAACCTATGAGGATTTTAAATTCATTTGTATTAGTTATAACTACTAATTAAAATTAACCCACAAAAAGATGAAGAAAAAAACAACACGTGTTATTTGAGCCTAGTCGAACCGAGCAACTTATATTCGAGGTTGTATTCGTTTAGTAAACGAACTGACTCAACTTGAATTCCGCTAGCTTGGTTAACATCGTCAAAAGCTTAAGTCGGCTTGTTAAAAAGGATAAATAACTTTAAATTGTTCGTTAGAGATATAAAAATTCTGTTTGTGAATCTGTTTGCTCAAATACTTCATTATTGACCCTAAAATTCAAATAAAAATTAAAAAAAAAAAAGAATTAAAAACAAGCTAGTTTATTGACCGTTCTAGAAACAAAGAAAATAAAAGTATGCTTAGGCAATACTTAACAAATAGATAGACATCAACAAACTTAATATACATTCAAATTAAAATGTTATACTTTAAAAAAACAAACACGTGTTATAGTTATGAAATTTCTATCTTCCCAGAAAAAAAAAAAAA